AAATCAGACAAGGATGTCTACTATCTCCACTTTTTCAACATAGTGTTTGACACTCTTGCTAGAGCAGTTAAGACAGGAGAAGGAAATTAAAGGAGTACTCACTGGAAAAGAAGAGGTCAAACTATCACTTTTTGTAGATGATACGATACTATACCTAAGAGATCCCAAAAGTTCCACCAGAAAACTCCTACACCTGATCAACACTTTCAGTATAGTGGCAGGTTATAAAATCAATCTACGAAATTTAGTAGACTTTCTCCAGTAACAAGAAACTGGAGAAAGAGTACAGGGAAATGCTCCCATTCACAATTGCTGCCAAAAAAAAAAAAAAAAAAACCTTGGAATATATCTGACCAAAGTCACCAAAGATCTCTACAATGAAAATTTTAAATCATTAAAGAAAGAGATTGAGGAAGACACATGCTCATGGGCTGGAATAATAAATATTGTGAAAATGACCAGCCTATCAAAAGCAATATATAGATTCAATGCAATCCCAATCAAAATCCCCATGACATACTTCACAGAATTAGAAAAAAATCATCCTTGGGGCCAGAGAGATGGCTCAGCAGTTAAGAGCACTGACTGCTGTTGCAGAGGACCTCAGTTCGATTCCCAGCACCCACACAGCGGCTACGAACCGTCCTTAACTCCAGTTCCAGGGGAATCCGAAGCTCTCTTCTGACCTCCACAGCATTGCATGACATGGGTGTACTCACATACATGCAGGCAATACACTTATACAGATAAAATAAAAATAATAAAATGTTAAAAAAAGAAAAAAAACATCCTTAAATTTGTACAGAAGCACAAAAGACCCCAGATAGCCAAAGCAAACCTGAGCACAAAGAGCAGCACTAGGGGGATTACTAGACCAGATCTCTAAGTATGCTACAGAGCTGTAGTCATAAGAACAGCATGGTATTGGCACAAATAGACACAGATCAGTGGAACATCACTGAAGATCCAAACCTGAGTACACGCAATTTCAGCCACCTGATATTTGACAAAGGTGCCAAGAACACACAATGGAGGAAAGACAGCATCTTCACAAATGGTGCTGGCAAAACTGGATCTCCACCTGTAGAAGAATGAAACCAGATCCTTATCTTTCACCTTGCACAAAAGTCAACTCCAAATGGATCAAAGACCTCAATGTGAAACTGGAAACCCTGAAACTATTAGAATATTGTCAGTAACTTACAAGATATAGGTGTAGGAAAGGATTTCCTAAATCAGGCAGAAGTTGCTCAAGAATTAAAGAATT